AAAAAAAAAAATAAATAAATAATTGTTAATAAATTAAAAAGCAATATTTCAAATGTTACAAATGTCTATGTCGCTCAGTCTGTCTGTCTCTCTTTCTCTCTCTCTCTTTCTCTCTTTCTCCTCACAAATGTCTCGGTTTCTTGCCTTTCCAAAATTTTGGATCTCAAACGTCTCTTAATATTTGATCGTCGGTTAGACTAGAACAAGTCAAAGTCGTTACAATCAAAATTTCAATCATTACAATAAAATTCAAATTTGTCTGCTAAATAAATATTTTTTTTAATTATTATGCAACGCTAGCGATAAATAAAAAAAACCGCTTTGAGTATTGCATGCATAGCGATTTTTAAATTGACGCTTATCTTTTCCAATCGCTTTATCGTCAAGCTTAATATTTATAGCTTCATTATAATGACCATATAAGCCTGCATTAGAGTGACGCTTAACTGCAAGTAGAAATTCAATTTTTATCAAAAATTATTGATGGCTGATCTTCTTTCGTAGCACGTTGCTGGCCTACTGCAAGCTATATAGCCGCTGCCTATAGAGCTTACGTTTTTTTTATATGAAAATTTGATTAGAAAATTTTAGGGGTAGTTTTTAAGTTTAGTACCAGCCACCGCAACGGAGAATATATTCGAAAGCGAGATTGAAAAGCAAGTTCGTGAGCAGCAATCGAACGGTTTTATTTCCTCAAATGTTCTGATGCTGTCCCTTAATTGAAATTACATTGTCGCGTAAGGTATGCAAACGCGCCTTTTTCCAGATCACAATAGCGACACATGAGAAAGGTATACTCAGCCATGGTCGAATCTGCCGTATCTACCACTGTCACATTCAAACACGGCATGCAAATATCTATTGTGGGACTCGGGATTTTACGCATGCATTGTGGGCGTGCGCTTTGCCTCGTTCTCAGTAATAATGTGCGTGCAGCAGCTTCTAATGTTTTGTCGAAAGTGCAGCCGATATCGCCACTTTTAAATCAGAATCTGATGCTGTTGAAGAATATACCTGTATACACTTTAAGGGGTCTCTCTTGAGCGCCGGCGCTGGACATAATAGCCTTTTTAAATGGCAATCTGGTACACCTAATTTTCGGCGGAGATTGAACTGGCGATAGTAGTTGATACGCTGAATTAGAGAATGCCGGTTCCACCCAATTCCCATGTCTAATAAATTATCCCATTCGCCATAATCGTAATCGAAGTCCTTAAAGCATCGTCAAGCCTTCGCTTCTTCCACTCGCTAGAAGATAAACTGCGATTCTATTTTCGGTTTAATATTGATTTGCTTGTAGATTCCAGACAGTTCGAGAAAATCCTTTTTTGATTGAAATTTTTTCCGCTGGAGGAACTACAATCGCGTGGGTTCTTCAGCTTATATATAAGTAGAAATGGCTATAAAGTTTTGTATGTATTCGTTCACGATACCTTCATCAAGAACCTATAGATTTTTTGAATTGAAGCAATAGCAAAGACATTAGGTAGACTAAGACCGTAGTTGACTTGAAAACCGCCACGCAGAGAGATTGGTAAGCAAAAAAAAAAAAATGCGTAATAGTTTATAGACACAAAAAAAAGGAATATGCCATTAAGCCATGATTTTGCAATTCGATGTTGTTTGTGTATTCAACTGCGATAATTTCATCTGTAATATGTCGCTGGAAAGCAATCTTGGTTGCATTTTGGAAAAAAAAAACATCAAGACCCACATGACAAGATTTTTTATGCAAATTTTAATGCCTTCAGCAGTGAACAGTAGTAGTAGTAGTAGTAGTTGTTATTGTTGTCAAAGCCAATTTGTCATATAATGTCTATATTTGTGTA